ATATATCGCGATATATATTGATATCGAATTATTGTCCAGCCCTAGTCTCACGTATTTCCGATTACGAACCAATCTTGCGCATGCACAATTAATCATGCGTAGTCGCGTGCACTTTCAGACACGCAAACATGTCCGTAATTTGGAAATTCTTCAGCGTGAGCCAAGCGGACGTAAAATTCGCTATCTGCAGCAAGTGTAAGTACCAGGTACACCATGGGGGAACCAATACAAAAACATTTAACACATATTTAATTAGACATTTAAAAACACATCACCCCAGTGAACATACTCAGTTTGAACAAGCTAACAAAGTGAAAGCTGCTTCCAAAGCATGTTCGAAGCCATATACGAGCCAGCAGTCTGTCCTATCTTTCGTTGGTATAAGCAGTGAAAAAGCAAAGAAATTACGAGGAAAATTATGGAATTCATGGCACTGGATGACCAGCTGTTTTCTGTAGTTGAGGATAGAGGCTTCAGAAATCCGATAAATTAACTCAGCCCAAAATATAGAATACCGAGTAGGCGTTACTTTTCGGACGTCGAGCTACCGGAGTTGTTTAATCCAGTGTCTCATGTCTCACACGTTTACTTGCTTCACCTATTATTATTTTAAAGAATTTATTAATGTTTAGTTGTAGTTGGGATTTTATTTGTTTTAGTTTAATTTATTTGAATTTGTAAAGTTTAATAAGAGTGTATGAAAATAAAGTTTTGAGGTGAAGAAAATGTGATTTTTGTATGTATTTGCTGGCAAAAATCGGTATTAGAAAAATTGGTATCGGCCAATCGCACATACCAAAAAATCGGTAATTGGGATCGGCCAAGAAAATTGAAATCGGTGCATCCCTAGATTTAATTAATTTAGGCCTGTGATGGAACATAATATACTTTCCATCTGTATGATATAGCTCCTGTGTGTGTGTGCACGTGTGTGTGTTACATCCTGGAATTGCATAATGGTTTGCAGTGACCAGTCTTCTATATTAAAATGTTGCTTTTGTTTATTAACTCTGGGACATTCTCTGGGGCGTGTCCATTTTTTATAGAGAGGAAGCCATTGCTAAGGAACAAGGTGCCTGTAACAGGCTTTGGGGGGTGTGCCATTAGGGTTGGGGGGTGTCTCATTCATGGCTCCCGGGCTTGGTAAGGCCACACACAGAAGTCGGTGAAGTCTACTGTTCTGAACCAGCCCAGTCCTGCTTGCACGGTCTGATGCTTCAGCCGGGGGAGTCGGTGAGCGTTGGTGCACCGTGATGTGGCAGGCTGACCACGCCGCTCGTGTTCATGCTAATGGGAGAGACCAATCATAACACACGTAGCTTTGTGGGCGAGGCCACTTACTGCCATTTAGAAAGCGACGGGTGCCGAATCCCTTTACCCTCCCTTAACATCGGTCTGCAGCACGCTTGAGAACAGCGGCTGTCCGCCTTTGTGGGAATCTGGCTTGGTGCTGTAATGAGGATGGAGTCCACGGGAGCCTTGTCAGAGGCTCTGGAACAGATAGACAGCGGTGTGTTCTGCTCTGCCTCGCGGGACCTCATTAGGGGCTCCGTTACTCACACGTGTGTCTATGTGTGTATGTGTAATAATAAAAAAAAAAAATCATATATATATATATATTAATTATTTATTTCTGAGGATGTGCAGGACTTGAACGTCCCAGTGGGAAATGCGAATAAGCACATTTGTCACCTCTTGCAGAGCAAATTGCAATGCAGGGCTTAATTAAGAAATGCTTCTATTATGCTTTGCTATTATGCAGATGAAATGAATGTTGGGCACTTGTGGGGGGGGGTGCAGTTTTCCCTGAAGCCTGTTTCTGTAGCAAGTTGCCATTCAGTGGGCAGTGTGTGAAATCTGGAAGGAGGCTCCGTAAGAATCGGAGTGGACCGCCCTACTTGTGCTGTTGCTCGGCGCTGGTGCCCTCACAATGCTGCCCGGCTACTGCCCTGTCCCCAGTGCGGTCGGGCCACTATACTTGATGCTTGTGAAGTTGAGAATGCTGCTTGAGTTCCATTACAGGCACAAGGGGCGAGTTGGGGAGCTGCCGTTACTTTCTGTGGTGAGTGGGGGAGTCGATGGTGACTAATCATGTATCTCACAGTGATGGGAGGGTGATCATGAGACAGATGGAAGGGGTGAGCGGAGGTCGTGGTGGGTGGCAACAGTCCAATTTCATACTCGCCGCCCCGGTCTGAGTGATCTTCACCAGTGCTGGATCCCATGTTTTCTGTTTGTATGTTTCCTGCTGATCAAAATGCTCAGAGAGCTGATTTAGCGCATTTCTTTGCCAGTTTTTTTTTTTTTACTGCTAAAATTTCCATAAAATTTAATATAGTACAGAATAGCTGTAATTAGACACTCTTACTGCAGTAGTGGCTATATTTGTCTGTAGTGCAGTGACTGTGGATTAAAAAAAGGTATTTCAGATTTCATTTGCTGTGATGTATCCATTTGAACTGAGTAGCCCAGTTGCCCTTGCAGTTGCTGCACTTTCAGTATCGATAGACTGCTATCTGTCTGATAAAGCTTCAGGCACCCCCCACCTTTTCTCCAGGCCTGGGGGCCAATGCAACTTACCAGGAACCAATTTAAGAATGAAGCTGGCTTCCTGCTGTCTATGGCCTGGATGGACCCCTCTGGATTTTCCTACCCAGGATCGTTCTTTTTTTTTTTTTTTTCCTCTTTCTTTCTTTCCCCTCCTTGTCAAGTTTTGCGCCTGACTGGGTGTGAATGGCACCAGGTTTTCCTTCCCCGCCTTCGATTTACACGGCATGTAATTGAGAAGCACCGGCTTCGTCTATCAGCTCATTCCCTGCGGGTCGGGTCACGAATTGCTCATAAAATTTGTTCCACGTTCTTGTCCTTTTGTAATTTCCACTCGGGTCGATCGGATGTGGCGCTATGTCGGATCGATTTTGTGTTGCCTCTGGCGCTTAGCCCATAGCAGGGATGTGGAATGCAAGGCTGTGGCCCAATGCAGGGGGGAAAGACGTGCACATGCAGAGAGAAACATATGCGCACACACACACACACACACACACACACACACACACACAGCGGTAACAGCACCATTCCCAACACACTGACCTCATTCACACTTCCAGAGGACATGGACGGAGCATGTCTGTGTGTTTGCCTCCGTTCCTCTGTCAGCGGGGGGAGGGAAGCATGTCTCATGAGAGAATTGCCTGCGCTGTCAGGGGGGGCGATCTAGAATGGGTCCATCAGGTCTCCATCAGCTGCTTTCTTAGTAAAATCACACAAATGCCTGACTCGACACACTTGTCATCTTGTATGTCAAGCTGAAATCTGCTATCTTAGTGTTTTATTTTCACTCCTCTCGTCCCCCCCCCCCCGTCCCTCATTTAACCTAATATCCCGAACGCTGCTGCCGCGGGGGGGGGGGGGGGGGGGGCTGGAGGGCGCACGTTCCGACACTTCAGGCATTGAAGGGGTTTTCATCAAATATTAATATTGCAGGAAATGCTCAGGGGTGGGAGCTAATGCGGCCGAAACATGGGGGTTGTGGGGAGGGGGCGGGGAGCAGTTCAAGAAAAATAAGCAATCTGTGCAAATTTATTATGTTTTATCCTACTAATAGTCCTCCTGAACTTTTTCATGAACTCCTCATTACTGCTCTTAGATGTTGTTTGATTGCAGCCAGCTCTGCTTGTCCTCTTTGCCCAATTCATTTCAGAACAATGTACAACGAAAAAAAAAAGCTTTGTCGGAATGTCTGACGTGTTTCATATATTTATTTTGTTAATGCATTTCTGCCCAGTCTGGTGAAATGCTAATTACGTCGATATTTTAATAGTGTGTGTGTTTGTGTGTGTGTGTGTTGGAATCAAGACAAACCCGTCAAGCCATTCTGCCTGCAAGCGATGTGCTTCTTTAACGGCCGACCAGGTTGTACAGACCAGGACCTGCTAACAGTGCTTCCCACTGCCTGTGTTGCTTTGTGGGCGGGTTTGTCGGTTTTGCGTCGTTCCCCAATTGCCCCCCCCCCACCCCTTCATCTTCTCAGGAGGGCAGCTCAATAGGTTTATGAGCAGCTTGGCTTAGCCTGGTACTGGGACCGCCCCCAGTCCACCCTCCTCCCCCTTGCTGCGTTGTGATTGGCTGAGGTAAGGTTGACGTCACGTAGCCCAGGCGTTGATTTGGCGCGTCCGCCAGGGCCCAGCCGGGTGCCCTGGCGACGGGCTGGAGCGGGTAGGCTCAGACGAGCGTGCGGCACGCAGAGGCTGTTTTAGGGAGCCGGGCCTCCCGGACTCCTGCCGCCACAGCCCATGCTGCCGCCACCGCTGCCATGGAAACTAACCCTGTAACCCATGGAGATAACGCGGGCTGCTATGAGGCAGGTAAGCGTGTGTGCTGGTGTGTTTGTGTCCCATGTGCACGGGGGAATTCGAGGCAGAATGAGGGCTTCTGGCAGATTGCGGAGTGAAGAGCCTGCACACTTTGTCTCGTCGCCGTCTTGCACCGTGACACATTGTTCTAAAGCGTCCTGACTAGAGCAGCTAAGTTTACTGTAAACGCTGCTTCAAATGTCCCAGGACTATGGTTTTCCTCAACGGTGCTCCCTTTGCCTCACACACTGGCAGCAGTTCGCTGGACCCAAGGGCTAGAGAGGTGCAGTTTTTGCCCCGCTGGGGGGTTAATGCGGTTCCTGTGGTGCGTGGTAGGCAGTCTGCCCTCTACTACTGGGGGAGTGGGGTGGCAAATAAACATCGACACCTGGTTTGTGCTGCTCCAGGGACACAGCATGGAACCCCTGCTTTCCCACACGTGGGCTGCAGATTCGCTGCAAATCCATGGCTGATACATGGGCTTTGAACATAATTACCGATGCTGGTAGATCTGCCGCCCCGTCTCATGCCACACCAGTTAATAACCGGCTTATTAAAAGCAAAGTCCTGTCTATTTTTGTTTTTCTCCTATTTTCCTGTGTAGTAAGCAGTAAACAGGTGTTCTTGGAAATGTGATTTTGATGCCTTCTCACTAGTGTGTTTTTTCTTTTTTTTTCTTCATAAATCCCATCAATTCCCATAGATTTTGCCTTGTGTGTGATGCTCACCTTCATGTTCAAACATTTCAACTGTGATTTACATCTGCACTGTTCACGTCGTACTGCAAAATTGTATTGGAAATGTTCTTCTGCTTGGCAAATTCAGTTTAACGTGTTGAAGTGATTCTCGTGTGACTGATTTTATTCCGCATCCCAAAAAGTAGGGCAAGGTGACAGCGGATATGCTGTGTGTTTCCGTAACGTATGTGTGTGTAAGAGACTCTGAGAAAAGGGTGAGAAATTATTTCTGGGCGAATCTGCTAGATTTTCAATACATACTAATGTGATGATGAATTGTGTGTGAATTTTCACATTGGGTCATACAGGCACTGGATGATCCGAGGTCATGTTCACTGCTTTACTGTTCTTGGTATGATTCTTGACAAACGGTGGTTATCGCTGACAGATAATCGCTGTCATGGCTTCACTGAGCATAACAATGGCCGTTACAGCGGGCTGTCGTTGTCTTCCTGTAACCTTGCCAGCCTTGACTGCAGCGTGCAAATTTAGCTGGTTGAGGGCATCTCGTCTGCACCCTGCTTCAATCCACAGCTTTTGTTTGCTCCTTTTAAGGGGTTCTGCTGTCTGTTCGGGCATTTATTTAAAAATAAATAAATAAAATAAATGAAGAGTGAATGAACTCTAATCATGCCAAATTCATAATCTGCCAAGCTCCTTTCTGAAGTCACTCTGAAATTGATAGTGGAAACCTATAACTGGTATCCCCACCTTGGATACGGGGAAGTGGGAGCGCACTACATGGGGTAATATTCATCGTTTGGGTGCTGGCAGGCATTATGCTGATATGAAAGTGACTTCTGCTGGTGTGTGTTTCTTGTTGCGCTATCCATGTGATGTGTGATGGGGACGTGGTTTAATGCGGTGATCTGATATTAATGTAGACATTGTCTTTGCTTGTCTTGGAATGTCACCGACGTAACACCTTTTTTTTTCCCCCCCAAATGTTGATATAATATCCGATGTTATGTTTTATTTTTTTGCGCCGTCTGTGTTTGTAATGCATCATAAATCCTCTGGAATATTTTATGTTTTAGTAGTTTATTTCTTTACTTTGACCCTTTAAGTAGTTGTGTCTGCCAGCCCAGTATGACTCATAAATGTCCCCATAATGGTTGACAAATTGCTCAGTGATCACTGTCGATCTCACCCCTAGTTAAAAAGTAAGCCTTCACTTTTGTTTTCTCCTCCAACACCATGCAAAAAGAACTGTTTATTACGAACCTGGCTGAGCACCGTGTGACACCCTGTGTGGTGGGACTGCTGTGTGGGACCTCTTACAGGTCTCGTTATTCATTTTTCTTTTATTTATATAATACACATATTTTTTATATATATATATATATATATATAAAGAAATCTCTACTCACCTTTATGTAATTTTTTTTGTACTGTGCGCTGCCCTATTAACTTTAAAACCCAGGTGTGCTCTGCTGTGGTGACTGCGATTCAAGTCTTTTTACTGGAGCAAAGTGAATAAAAAAAAATAGTGATAAAAAATGACCTGCAGGGTGCGAGTGAGGTAGTGTGTTTCTGCGGCTGTTAAATCCTTGGTGGCCCCATGACCCCTTTGTGCAGCCATTACTTCTTTGATGTCGAGTTCTGACAGCAGCTCGCCTCAAACGGTCTTGGCCAGTCGACCCAAGCATGTGGCAAGTCTTGTGTGTGTCCGCTGATGTGAGGTGGCAAGGGCAGGAGTAACTGGGGGGACAGCGGGCTGTTAGGGTCCTGTTTTCTTGTGACCCCTGTTACTGAGGATTCCAAGGACATAGTTTTGGTTTCAGCATTGGTAGGGACCTAAATCAGCCACAAACCCTCCGCCCACAGACACAGAACTCCCACAGTATTTGCCTGGACATGTCCCTATCATCCATACCCATATCTACGCCCCCCCCATCCCACTCCCACAGAGCCTCTTCCTTGACTTCACTTAGTCGTGTGAAACTGCGCTTGCCTTCGTTTACCCCCCACCCACACCCTGGGTTCATATTTTGGGACACGGCAGGTTTTCAGTCACCTTACCACTGTCCCCCATGCCATTAAAATCAGTGTCAAGATTCTAAACACTGCATTCCGCTGGTAAGGAGACAAATTGCCTCTCAGAAAAAAAGTGCTGTAGCTGTGCGATACACCCGTTTCTGTATTTGCGGATGGGATCAGCCAGACCATTCTGAGGAAATGTGCATAAGGGGCTGATTTACCATGGACTGCAGCGCCGCTGTTTGGGTTACCGCTGAAATGTCACGACTGGCACAGCAAGCTGTACGAGAGGCTGATTGTGTCGATGTGAAAGCTGATGCCTTGTCGGCTCTGGTTCACTGCGGACGAGTCTTGGCCCTTCCGGCACACCGGCGTCTGGCAGCGTGCTGCGCAGCCGCTTTGGCTGTCGTTCAGGAGTCATACTGGGTGACACTCCGGGCTGCAGGTTCTGGGATGCAGCATTATAATCCGTTTAGCGCCAGCCAGGGCCGTTTTGGCTGCCGTTTTCGGCTCTTGCTGAGGGAGCTGGGTCAGCCAGAGCTCACTAGGCGCCGCGCCAAGCATTCCCAGTCTCCGGCCCGTAGACAGGATTCGTGGCCGTGCATCCCAGCTCGCTATTGCCTGGGGAATCCTGTGGGCCTCACATTGCCTGAGTGTTAGAGACAGGGCTGGCCTCTAACCTCTCTCCTCCCCCACAGGTCCCCAAGGGGCGTGAGCGGCGTGTCGGACGGCAGCGCCGCTGTAAGCCGCTGTCCAGTCCGGCGACAGGGACATGGGCCTCTTTCTCCGGGCTTCCAGCAGGCTCAGCACAAGCGACGACCCGGTGGACAGCGCCGAGAGGGACCCGGGGCCCCGCCTCCTCGCCCAGGACACACCTCCACAAGCCCAGCACCACAGACCAAGTCGGGTACGTGGCTCCACCGTTAGAATGGGCTTTAGAAGTTGTGCCCAGCTCCTTGGGCACAGTGTCCTTGAAGGACATAAGGTAAAAACAAGACAGAAAATTTGAATGCTAAACACAAGGCGGTCGGTCACCGGTGCTCCACACTCCAGAGCTAAACACAGCCTGTTAACCGAACCAAAGGACAACAGTCTTAAATTCAGCAGGTCCAGTGAAATCATTTAAAAGAAAGTTTTTTCTGTTCTGTGTGCCTGAAGCCAGTTTTCATGTGTTCGTCATAGTCAGCCTTTGATTAATTTAGATTTTTTTGTTGCTGCGACCGAGTGTTGCGGCGGTATGCTCGGTGAGCGGGGGCTGACATGGTGCGGGTGGGCGGCCTCACCCTCGCGGAGACGGACAGGGACCCTCCCAGGGCTCCTCAGCCTTTCATGCACATAATTGAACATCTAATTAGTCCTTTTTTGGTACATGGTACTCGTGTGACAGGTGGTACTCTCCATTGTCAGCCGCCCCCCCATGACAGGAGGTGTTGAAGGCCGTAGGCAAAAACACATTAGTGGGCCAGAGTTAAATGGACCAGGATCTGAATCTAAATTAACCATTTGGTGCTGTGGCACAAAGGTATTGGGAATCTGTTCCAAATCCTCCCCCATGCTTCCGTATCCCCTTTGTGTCTCAGTAAGATTGTCATCCCACCGCCCCAAACATCTTTAAGAATCGGATTTTCTAGCATCATGTAATGTGGATTGTCGCAAAGCCTGTTAATTTGCCCCCTTGGTTTCTGGCAAGTGGCAGGCGGGCTTTTCGTTAAAAGCCCCTAATGAGGATGTCCCTTACTGTTACTGTGAAGGAAACAGGAGAGGCAATGAGGGGCTCCGAGGTGGACGAGAACGGCACTGTCCTGGGGGGCGGCCTGACGCGCGCACAGAGCAAGGAGCGGCTGGAGCCCAGTATCGAGGAAGGCTGCTACGATTGCAAAGGCGAACTCCAGGTAACTGCCCCTCTGGCCCCCACCCATGCCCAGCTCACTCCGGGTGTGAATATGAGTGTTTTACATCTATCTCTCGTCGATCGTTACACACACACAGCATCACCATGGCGACGGCTGCTGGTTTAGTTATCACCACGGTATCCTGGCATGTGACCGGCAGGGTTGTGTGTGATATCATTGAGTTGACCATCACTGTTACAATCACGTCTGCTAAAAAATTTAGCTGAATTCCGACTGAATTCATGGACGAGTCTATCCTGAGAGGGTTCTTACACCTCGAGCTCGTCAGCCAGTCCTTTGAACAGCTGATGAGCGTGAATCCGTGAGTCTCCCTGCTGGCCTGGCGGTCCAGATCACCATCGGGCGGCTCCGCTTGCCAAGCGGTCGTGGTGTTTGATTCGTTAATCCGTCAGCAATCTTCGCTGCTTAGACACCCAGCATGGGGGAGGATTATTGCAATCCGTTATTTGCTGCTGGTCTTTCTCGACAACAGCCAATGAAACAGCCACTAGGGACGTGGGAGATTGACGGCGAAGTGTGATCCCCACCCCCTCTTCTGAATCCCCCATCACATGGACTAATCCCTCCTTTCCATGGCTCTGAAAATGCTGTCCCCCCCCCCCCCCATATCACCATATCATATCCAAAGTTTTCTTTTGTTTACAAATGGTTTACAAAACAATTTTCATGCCAGCTTAGTGGTTAGTCGCCCCCCGCCCTCCCCCCGAAATGCGTGCATTCAAACCAGCCGCACCACTTGTATTCCTTAAGAGGTGCGCGTGGGCTAGTTGACGTACGGGTGCCTGCCCCTCCTCGCCACAGCGGCTGTCAAATGGCAGCCGGTACTGAGCGGTGAGACCTTTCGCAAGCAGCGACCCTCTTCGCCTGCCTCGCCTCGCCTCCACCTGCGAGAGCCTCCTATCCCCCAAAGGTCAGCGTCCGTCTCCCTGACAGATCTCGCGTGACTCCTGAGCACCATAACATTTCTTACGTCTCGTTTGAAGTCTGGTGCTTTGAGGCTTTTTTTTTGGTGTGGGGATCTGGGGGTGACTTAACCTCTATCCACCTTGGTAATAAAATAAACCACATACTTAATTTCGTCCACGGTGAAACCCAGGTACTGAGGCACCGCTGGGTAACGTTTCTGCATCTTCATCCTCATATCATCAGCCCAGCGTTTCGCGCGTTTGCACACTTGCCGTTTCGGGAGCTCACCACTGGTCGTTTTTGTGTCGTTACCCACCGTACAGAAGCAAACCTTAACGCCTGGACAGCCAGGAAGGAAGGCCAAGGTATGGAACAGCAGCATGTTCCGGAATGCTCTCCCTCATGTCGCCCACCATAGCATTCATGCCAGTCTGGCCTGTCTCAGATGTTAATTGTATGTGTCTGCTTGAAATGTCCTGTGTTTTCTGCCATTGAGGTTTGCTAGCTGTGTGGGTGGGTGGGTGTGTTCACATCCATTTTTCGTTTTTCATTAGTTTGTGTTGTGGCTTGGTTGGTGGTCATGATTTTCAGATGTCGAGGACTAGCTGCGAAATTTGAAACAGGCTACCAACATGCAGGGACCAAGCCTGTCGTACACAACGCGGTGTCTCTTGACCCAGCGGCCCGTCCATCTGAAAATTACCACCGCAGGGTTGCTGTGTTTGCCTGGGATTGTGGATGTCCGGACTGTGCTAGTCCTTTTGAGCTAAAGCCAGCCGTGCTGCCTTCTGTGGACCCTGAACTGTGGCCTCTCTCCTAACCATAAATACTTTCCCCCAGTCTAACGCAAAGCTAAAGTTAGTTCGGAGCCTGGCTGTTTGCGAAGAGTCCTCTCCTCCCTCTAGCACTGAACTGGCACGAGAGCACCAGGTAAACCCCAAGTCTACCCACGATTTACAGCTCCTGCTTCTCGCAGTCATGCTGGAAAAGGCCCAAAAAACACCGCCGCCGATCTATGTCTGTGTGTCCAGCCGTGATGGTCAGTCCCTGATATTTTATTTTTGGCAGCGTCATACGTCACAGACATCACATCACTGCTCAGGTGACACCTAACTTATAAAAAAACGTGCGCAAACGCATACACACACACAGACGATTGCAGCGGCGTTGCTGTGATTGGCTTGGGATGATGGAAGCATGCAGATTTATTGGTGAGCCTCGTAATGTCCGCCCACATGGGTGGCCGGCCATGTTGGTGGCCTTGTTTAGAAAAGGGGCTCATCATTAACTTCAAGCATCCTGTGGTACCACCAGTGATCAGCTTGAATAAACCACCCCGACACACACACACATGCCCCCAGCCCAAGCATCTGTATGGCCAGAGCCACTCACAAATCCCCCTCCGAAATGTCTTTTTTTTGTTCTGGGTCAAAATGTCAGGCACTGACAACTACAGGAATTAAATGTCAGGCAGGGAGACTGCAGAAAGTGCACTTAATGGTAAAAGTGAGTTAGACAAGCTGCAGTAAATATTGCACGCCTCGTGAAAGAGCCATGGCAGACAGCCCCGACAGGGCGTAAAGCGGACACCTCGTTCAGCCAGATTTACGCCCTTGAACTTATTTCTTGCCCATTGCAGACCCCTCACTTGCTCGCTGTGCTGTATTATTCGTTTTTCCCCCCGTTTATTTCTTTTTCACTGGACACATTTATCCCCAGACGGACCCCCACCCCTTCGAAGGCCAGGTTTATCCAGCCTAGTTGCCCCAGTGCGGCTTTGTGCATCGACCTGCTTTGTTCTCTTTGTGAAGCCTGTCTTTCCGCCCGTTCCTTAAACTGCAAGTCCCGGGGGGTGGGGGGGTGGTGCTGAAGCAGGGAAGGAGGGGGGTGTTAGAAGGTATTGGAGGAGGTCTGCTGTGGACAGCCGCTACCTCCCCACTGGTGTCAGGCTTACTGGTGGGGCCTGCACCGCCCTCGGCTGTGTAGTAATGAAGCGGACGGGTCTTGCAGTCCTGCATCCTCAGGCAGCTGTCACACAGCTGCTGCAGATGTTCAAGAGCACAGCTTTATCGATACGGAAGACACGTCCAGCTGTGTGAGCGAAA